CCACCAGGACATGACTGCCCTCCTCCACCAGGACACGACTGCCCTGCCCCACCAGGACTGCTCCCCACTTAGGCGAATTTGTTCAGAGCTGTCCTACATACTTGGTTTGCTCTACAAACTTGTTCATAGAGTTGCTGATGGTCAATTTCCTGTGACTCTGTGCCAGACCTCAATCTCTCTTAGCTAAATACAATTGCTAGAGTAGCCCATTATGCAGCCTGGAATGGTGATAACGGTAGCAACATGTACATTTTCTACGGCCAGCCAACGGGCTCTGTAAGCAGTAAAGAGAGCACCCACAGTTATTGCTGGAACAATTCTTGATGCATTGAATAAATACCTGCCTCGCTGCAGTTGTGATGACGAGCCTACTGTCGTTCTCTTGCACTTCAAATTTTAGATGAGTCTTCCTCCAAAATGACAGATCCATCTACAGACACCGTGGTACAGAGGAAAGAGCAAAGCGGTGCCTCAACGGACCAAGACGCCTCGAAAGCGAAAGTTACTCCAAAGGAAGAGTCTTCGAGACCAAGTACGTATTCTGAGGTCTCATGTACTACTAACACTAACATAACAAAGACCACTCTCAGCCTCCGATCCGTGATCCAATCCCGGGTTTCCCTGGACGAGAACAGGTTTTCAAAATTGATAGGCCAGATAATGGGGCTTCAGATTCGAAATCGAGTTAGTATGTAGTCAATAGGCTGTTTTGGTAATAAGAAAGTGCCTTGGTTCAAGAGAAACCCCTGTCCAGCGTCCCAAGATGCCCATTGTTCACTATCCGTGTAACAGCCAAGGGAGACTTGACAGCTACCAGCCGCATCCTTAATAATTGGCACGATGACCTGAACGGTTCCGCTTGGGGTAGGAAGAGGTCCAGAGTCGTGGTGGATGGCATAAGGTGTACCGACAGCATATTCCTCCACTTTGAGAAGCCCCTGACTGGTCTGTTTGATGAGTATGCTACCGCGGGATACCTTCAGGTAACTCACCAGGCATTTTAATATTTCCCTAATTATCTCATTGGCACCTGGCCACTCATAGGCATGCATCTGAGTTTCCCCTGGAATAGCAGACGGCATTGGATTGTACCCACGAAGCTGCACCGCCAACTCTGACAAGGCCAACTGTAGGTCACCAGGTAGTTTGAAGACTTCAAAGTGCTGTATAACGCACAAGGGTAGGGTCAGGGGTGGCAAAGGTGGGAGCCGAGGAACAAATGTTTTGGTCTTGATCGCGTCCTCGAACAAGTGGTACTCGCTTTCACCGAGGAGCCGGCTATTGAGAGCGTCTCGAGCACTGGTAAGGCTGCCAGAAACTACTTAGCCTGTGGAATGCTCGTTCCGGTGAAACCTACCTTAGATAAGGGAATGTATAGTGGACCAGGAAAGGGATGTACAGCAGCAGGGATCCATGAATTTCTTCTGAAGGCTTTTGAATGAGGAATGCAGATTTAAACCTGTCTGGGTGCTCTCCATACTGACGCAGGTGTGACCTCTGAGCCGGTACTAATTCGAATATTGGTTAGTAAAAGATCACTGCAAACCTTCAGCTGCCATACTGTAAAGAATCGCTTCAAAAGCACGGTGCAGAAGACCCTCCAAGTAGAGCTCATCGAGAACTTTGATGAGTCTCACCACTGATTTCATGTATCTCTCCAACATGCCGTCATCAAGGTGGGGGTTGCCAAAGAAGTCTCGGAGATCAGAGTACACTGTCTGTCTTTGTTCTGGATCGCAACAGAGGATTGTATGGCGGCTCGCCAAGAAGGTTATCTCGTAGAGGTAGGTCTTCTTTGATGGCATAAGCAGCTCGGTCAATGTGTTAGACATCTCCTCCGCGGTGCTGAAGACATGTTGTCTCGCCAAGCGCCATTCATCTTCCGTTCTTGGCACAGTCTCGGCTAGTTTTTTCCATGTAGCTTCATGGGTACGTTGACGGGGGGCTCGTGTCTCAAAACGAAATTGACTAAAAGAACCCGCGGATGAGTTCCCGTGCTCCTTGCCTGTTGGTGTCCCGCTCATCTTGCCTTGTCTGAAAATTTGAGGCTGGCGAGGAGCGGGGAAGAAAAACGCCGCGCTTCCAAATTAGGAAAAAGTTGTGGAAGTCAATCAAACGCCCCACAGGCCGCAGTAGTCTGCATTAGGGAAATGATTGGGAAGTCAGCCATCTCATGCTGATCACGTACCTCTTAGCTTGAGAGAGATTTCTTTGCTTCTGGGGAGGGGGGGTGGGTTCATCCAACGGCCCAGGGGCATTTTAGCTATCACCACCTCAACACCACATCGCATTAGCCTCTCCGACCTAGAAGTGGACGTTGCAGTGTATGTATACAATACCAAAAAGCAAAAACATGGACCATATTCTGGGAATACTTAAAGGAATGTGCACGCAACGAGGCAACTACTTTCAGGCCTCAAGGACATAGTTCGCCATCCACCCAACACTTCACATCAAGCGCTTCCCTCAAGCTTTTCTCCTCACCCAAATCTTACCCGAAACGACCCGGCGAGGCAACTACTTGTAGGCCTCACCGACACTGGTTCGCCAAGCACTCAGCAGTTCAAGCCCACCTTTTCAATCAACCACTTCATGACCTCTCCTAATAGTACCCCGAGAAACCAGGGCCGCGGCGCATACGACACAACAGGCTGCCCGAAACCCCGACCAAGACCAAGGCCTAGCTAGCGATGTCTCCCATTATCCCCCTACTTCTGGCAGTCTTAGGGGCATCCATAATTGCCCTGGCGTTGGCGTTCTGGCTCTATGTTTGGAAGACGCAGACCAGAAAGAAGCTTGAAGGTAAGCAGCGTACTCGTCTTGTATAGGATATACTAATAAATCCTAAGACACTGAGCTAGACCAGTGGAACGTTCACCACATTTACCTTATAGTGCCTAATCCTCGAACCTGGGCCAAAAAAAGAAACATTGCTCACGGCCATGCTAAAATAGAAGACCCCAAAGATCACTGTATCTATAATCTCTATTCCGCAATTGAAATCAAGGGACATAACAGGGAAACCAATGAGTTACACGACAGCGTGGAATTAGGAATGGATGCTGTTGTATTTAGGGAAGACGGGGAAATGGCCGCAATTACTGGGGTCATCCTCGATGAAAGGCTTTCGGGCCAGGGGACTTTCAATTTATTAGTGAAGATGGGGTTACCAGTAGTACCGATTCCTGTGGATCCACTCTCTCTAGACGGCTCGCCGATGGCCATAAAGGCTCCGTGGGTTACCTTTAGCAGAATGTCTAACCGGCGAGGGAGATAACAGCATATACGCACCCCTCCAGCATGTAATACCCTTGCAAATAAACCTATGTCACATGTCAGCATAGAAAATCCGTTGGAAAGACGGTTGAGGCATAAAAGTAATTAGCAGGAGGGATATATATTTAGATATTGCACTGCCTGCGTTTACTTAACACTTCCTCGTTCAAACACTTCACAAATAAAATCGTCTTTTGTCATATGAGCTCCAACAATGAACAACCTGCAGCCAGCCCCTTTTCCGAAGAAGAGACGTTCAAATACGGATCTGAGATCCGAGGATCCGAAGATCCCCAGGCTTGAAGATGAAAGCCATGACTTTCTCGAAGCAAAACCCACCAAGCATCCAGTCAATACAACTCAAACCGATGCCAAAACAGAGGAATCCTCTGATGGAGTCGACGACTTGGAGAAATTATTACGCGATTTTACAATTATGAGGGGCGAAAAAGCGAAGCAGCGGGAAGCAACCGGCGTTTTCCAGACTAAAAGGATGCGACGCAAGTGCTCCCAGTGCGGAAAGTTTGCTCCAGAGAGGGGCGGTGTGTGCAGGCATTGTCGTCTTCTGGAAAAGCAAGAACTGGATAATGGGCCGTCAAGTATCACTATTCGCTCAATTGAAGGATTGTTTGATTTGTAGCAGAGTTTCCAGAGACTCTCCTTGTCCTATCTACTCTTCCAGCTCTCTAATTAAACAAGTACCACGAATCATTCCTGTTCCGAGTTGACGCAACTGCGCTTCAGTACGAGCGAAATCTGGACTGACATAGTATCCCGCCGCTCCAGTATAATATCCGACGATAATGGCAAAATCTCTTTTCTCGAACATCCAGTAGTCGATAGGTCCCAAGTCAAAGTTCATTTGTTCCAAGCCTGCTAGGATAGCAGGTAAAGAATCTCCCACTGATGGTACGCCCTTGATAGATTGAGTTGGTCGGATTGACTTCGAAAACTTATTGAAGTTCTGGTTGACATGCGCCTCCAGGCTGAAGATTTCCTTAACCAGATCCTCTGATGGCATGCTGAGTGCTGTGCGATGTTCTTGGATCTTCTCCATGACGAAGGCCATAGGGGATGCTTCTCTGCTTTTTAAAACGAATTCTGATATGGATTTGTCGGGAAAGAGTAATCGTTCGAAATTGGCCAGAGAACAGAAAATGCCTTCGTATCCAAGACCTTTATCGTTTAAGGCCGGTCGCTTGTTGCTGGTCTGGGAGATCTCATCGATCTTTTGAGAGATCTCATCGATCTTCTGCTCAATGTCTGAGAGATTGATGGCATGGACTTGGATTGACCTCATAGTCGCAGAAGGCAAATTTTGGCCTGAAAATAGGGCGAGGTTGAAGACAGAGTTGGGGCTGGCGAGGGAGAGAGAACGGAGTTCGAGAAAGGAATAAGGGCGGGGATGGCCTATACTTGTGACAGACACTCTATTAACCCGCCAGCCAGTGAGAAAGTTGCGCCGAGATTATCTGGGAGAGGATTTCCTCCGGGGTTTCACTGCAGGTAACATGCAGGAGAGTTGGCAAGCATCTGCATATCTGGTCTTGTGTCTTGCCCCAGTTAGTGGTAAGGGGGGAGGGGTTTGTGGCGCACAGGGAGTCATATTTACATGGCCCGTCGATGTATACCTTTACTCTCTCAACACGGAAGTCTTGTGGCATTCGCTTGACCAGGTTGACCGCCATTCATGGGTAGTCGTCATGTGTATTAACCTTGTCAGTCTAAGAACTGCACACTGGATCTGTTCGAAGCAATGCTTGTAAACTTCGACTGTTTGTGTTGCATAGAGGTATCATATTTCCTATACTAGAATAGCTTTCAATGACAGTATCTCCGTTTGATAAGAGAGGAGGTGGAAGGTCAAGAAGGGGGATACTTACCTCCATCGATCCGCGCTTTATCCCATGAACAAGCAACCAGGTTGTCGTCTGAGCTAAAGAGGCTTGCAGTTGAGAAAAGAGCACTAAAACCGAGGCGTGCGATTACACACCCCTCTGGGCCCACGCAACATCGATTCACACCCTCGCTTCGGTATGTTAGCTCTTGTCACTGCAGGGGCCTTGGGGTATTCTTTGAATCAGAGATGATGCAATGGGTGTTAGACCAAGGTCAGTATTTAAATCTTAGAGAACGGAGAGAACTACTGTTATTATTTCATTTCCTCAAACAATTACTCAAGATGGCAGCCTCAGCCCCCGCTCTTCCGGCTCCTAAGGGTTGGCCACAAGGACAGCCATATAGTGTGGTCACCAATAATGTCTTCCAAGAGTTAGGTAAGGTTTTTGTTCTTTAAGCAGCTCACTTGATACTTACCTGCTGTGTAGAAAGACAGGGGGTTATCCTAAAAGAGACCTGCTACTGGGCGCCCATAGAGGCATACCACGACAAGGGCGAGTACTTGTGGATTCCGCAAAATGAAATAATCTGGTGTATCCCGGGAAGCGAGGGAGATATACAGCTGGTGACTGGTTGTACCTTAGCTTTTGCGGGTATGTTTCAATCACTTCAGCCTCTGCTGTTCGTGTACCAAAGCCCGACTGGCTGCACAAACGAAGCTAGATGCGTTACAGCTCTGATTAATCACAATGGTGATAAGAGCACTCCTAAAATCTTGGGGTATGATAAGGGGAAAGATTATGATATGTGGATAGACCTTGACTCGAATGATTATGATGGACAGGCAGACTTAGGAGGTTTTCCAACTAGGATCGTCGACCAATATGGGTATATTACCAGGACTCTTTCAGCCCCTACCAGGATTTAGATGTATTTAAAGGCCAGTCAGTTACTTCAAGGCCGGAAAGACATCTCTAATTCTTCCATTATTACTTCGTCCGTCAAATCACCGCCGACAATGTCAGCCTTTTTGCCTGCTTTGCCCTCTCCCAAAAGCTGGTCACACTTTCAAGAGTACACTGTAGTCTCGAATGAAGTTTTCCGGGAGCTACGTAAGTTTATGCGCTTGATACGCCAGCAAGTGCTAACAAAAGGAACAGAAAACCGGACTACCATTCCGGAAAACGACTGTCACATGGTAAATGCGTCGGAGTTGCACAAAGACAAGATGTTCCTCTGGCTTCCGAAAGACAACAACCTCTGGTGCATACCGATATCTCGGGGTGAGTTGGAAAGAAGGAGTGATTGCTATCTGATGGTTGCCGGCGATTTTGAATCACTCGAGGAGACAGCTAGAGTCAAACGGGGAAAGAAAGCCAGAAATGAAGCCAAATGTGCTGTGGCACTGGTGCGCAAGGATGATCATGCACACTTGGGGTACTACGAGTGTCATTGGTACAATGAGTGGGTGTGGGCAGGAGGTCGTCCTGGAGATTATATTGCACACCAGCGCCCTTTCTGAGGTACCAGGGAAATGCATGTACCTGCAGGAGGGGTTGTTAGGGTTTACGGGCATGGCTTTCCAAGCATGCATACATACCTGTAGTTTACTCTGTATCACACTCCCCCCATGCAATACGAGTATGTATATAGTTGTCTACTCCTCCTTGTCGAGGCGAACCACTTTCTATTTCAGTTGCCTTTTCCCTCCGTTGCAATGTGGTCTACCGACATTCTGTCACGACTTTGGCCGACAATTCAGCCTCAAAAGGCAAAGATTTCCCTCAGCCGTATCCTCTCCCGTCTTGGATCTACATGGAAGCCTAAAAATCAGCTCATAGCGATAGGGGTCCATCGCACTCGCTATAGCCTCATTTACAAGCCATACAAGATCTTCATCAGGATTGAGGTGACTATCATTGAGTCTTACAACCTCGTCGAAGTAGTAGATTACGACCTACTAGACCTCATTACCGGACAACGTTTCCAGCTGTCGACATGGAAGGACCGATTTTCTTCCCTCAAGTATCCAGCAAGATGGAAGAGTAGTAAACTAAGTATTTTTCAATGGAATAACAAGAAAGGTATGGGTTCCAACTTCTACGAAGCAACCAACGACTGAAACATATCAGAGAAGAAAAAGACGCTGCCTAAGCCATGTTCGGCATGTCAGCGTCGTGCAAGATGGTGGGATCATTGAAGAATTTCACGACGTGACTACGGAGGTTCGCATGGTTCGGGGCCGCGCTTAGTCGTTCACCATAGTGCTATTAATATCCAGCGGCAAAAATGAAGACAAGTCACATTCCCAGCGTTTGGGCCTCCTGCGGTGACAAACAGCCCCTTGTCCTGCGACCCCTGGTGATACGGCTGCAGAGCCTGCTTGAGAGTGAGGCTCTGGCGGTGAAAGGTCAAGATAGACGTTATAAGAGACCCCCTCATTCTCAGTGAGATCTTTCTCACACAAGTTTGATATCCTACGAAGAGGCCCCTAGTGAAATCCAAATATTRGTAAGTTCTCGCCAGTAATCTTCTGTTCACCTTCAAAGGCCTGAACCACTCACAGTTTGTCACTCATACACAAAAGAAAAAATGGACAGCACAGCGAGTGAGAAGATCCAAGCACGAAATGAAAGAATAATAAATTGGTTATTACATGTACCTGGGCCCTGGGATGTGAACCAGAAACATGTGTTCAGTGGACGGCGAGGGATGACGGTACAGAGCAAGCACGTATTTTATTTGCAAGACGATGAATACGATCGAATAGGGATGTGGAGGGAGAATGTGTCCAAACTTATGGAAAATGAGCACTACTGTATCAACTGTGTACATCCTTGCGGTTGAAGGCAAATTTGATTGTTAGAAATATGATGATGATGTTCCTGCTTGTCACTGGCGACAAAAGTTGGGGTGTACTCCGTACTTAGTTAGTGACGTACCAGCGCTTAACGGTCCACTGTAAATTAAAGTGGGTTCTCCCCAGGCGCTCGGATCCCATGACGCTAAGCAACGGATACATAAGTAGCATGGCGCCCCCCGTTCCACCGACGGGGTCCTGCCACCTACAACATCACATATCTGCATTGAAGATTTTCCCCCACCATGCCTACTGCTGTGGTGGCACTGGATCAGCTCCAGTCAGACATCGATTTATGTAAGACCCGTCTCGAAAGTTTATCTAAACATAAACTCGAAGAAAGACCGAACACGCGATCCACAACCACGAAAGAGAAAGCGAAACCCAAGATAACGGGTGCCGAGAAAAAATATGACGACCTGTTGCAGAGTTTCTTAGGAAACCTTAAAGACTGGTCAGAAAGGATGAAGGTGGTACGAAGGGATATTGCCGTGGAGCCCAATCAACGAATCGCAACGGACATGGAGATGGGTACTCAATCAGAAGATGCTGGTAGTGTTCGCCAACACGAAATCCCAGAGCCATCTCATGCGCGCGCATGTACACTGGCCCAACATGTACAGCCCTGCACATCGGAAAATGGAATCGCAAACGGCGAAGCCTGCGAGGCTTCAGGTGATAGTATAGATGACACTCGAGTGGATACGACAATTTATGCATCAGATCCTGCAGAAGATGTATCTATGGAGCGCGCGCCTAGGGTTGATACTGAGCCAGTTGCTGTCGAGGCTAGCAACCGAGGCAGTCATGCTCGCGCTGCCTCTTGCCATCATCCAATCAAGCCCTTTATTTCGACTGAGAGAGAGGAGAGGCAGACCGACATCCATAATGCGACCGCGGGTCAGTTATTGCCAGACCATGGCAGAGAGGATCAGGTGGATGCTGAGCCCGCCGAAGTGCAGACTCAGCTAAGCACGGATCGCCCTGGCCTGGCGAACTCGGACGATGCATCAGCAAACGACAACTCGATGGACTTAATTCCCCTAGGCCCCGTCCAACAAGATGATACGCCAATGTCTGAGGTCGAGCCCGAGGTCACGCAACAAACAGCCATCACCGATGCTATAGCGCCGAACTCAGACGATACATCAGCAAATAATAACAACAACTCAATACAGTCAATCACTGCCTCGGGCCCTATCCAACAAGAGGATTCGCCAATGTCTGATATCGAGCCTGAAGTCACGCAACAAATAGCCATCACCGATGCTGTGTCGCCGAACTCAGATGATATATCAGCAAACGATAACGACAACTCAATGCAGTCAATCACTGCCTCGGGCCCTATCCAACAAGAGGATTCGCCAATGTCTGATGTCGAGCCTGAAGTCACGCAACAAACAGCCATCACCGATGCTGTCGCGGGTGCCAATCACAGACGCCCAGCGACTCCGGGTATAGCCAGGCCGTCAAGTAACTCAGAAGTCGGGGAAAATAGTACGTGGTCGTCGCAACATAGTGATACGAGCGAAACCTTGTCCCCAACAAGCAGTACTGCATCTGGAACCGATAGTATTCAAACACGCTTCACAACACCAGACTCTACTAGCATGGGGGAGCAGGTAGATAAGTCCCCAATTTCAGAGAACAACACGTCGATTCCGGATGACCAAGTGGATGATCAAGCGGACGACTCCTGTTACGAACGCTATTTTATTGAATCCAAAGATACACCAACTCTCGTTCGAGATCAACTTGGCAAGGACATGCTGAAGACCCTTGATGAGCTCTCAAAATTGCCTAACTACGTAAACAAGGCCACATTGCCTTGGATAACAGAGAAGGCCTCGCAATTCAACCCGAAAGACGAACTGAAGCTAGAGGGCGATCCTGATGTGCAGTTCAACAAGTTTGAAAAGAAGGACGAAGACGGCATTGTTGTTTCTCGGGACGACCCAATAAAAGGAAGAAAATTTGAGTGGCCAGACTTCGAAGAGGGCGACTTCGTAACGACAAGGCAAGCGTCCCGCGAGCTAGCACAATTCCTTTCCCTACCTGGTAAGGGGGTGTCCTACTTATGCGGCATCACGACATCCATCCTCTGGTCCTCGTGTCCTCTGTATTCTGGCGAGCAACTTGATATTGAAGAGCTCACTCGCGTCAATGAACCCTATACACATCTTGGGAAGAAGTGGTCAATGACCCCAATGCATAAAGAGGATGATATATTTGGATCTGTCAACGTCGGATTCCTGGGCACAAAGCTCTTTCTGCGTGTCCTTACAGAGGACACGGAGAAATTCGAGGAATGGGTTCGTGGCAAGTACAAATGCAAACCCTGTCCACAGTTCGTCCGCCACCTGAACAGATTCTTTGAACCCAAGCAACTCGAAGCTCTCGGTATACGGTTTGAACTTCTGATCCAGCGGCCAGGAGACCTTATCGAAACCAAGACTAATCAATATCACCAAGTACTCAACCTTCAAGATTCCTTGGCCATATCAATTAACTATCTTTTCCCTGGTATCACGCCAAATTTCAGGGATGATGACAATCCTCTTGAGGTCTGTAATGAGTGTGGGCTCAAAGGATTGTATGGGCGGCCGGGTTTCCGCGTCAAATGGGTGGACCCTGGCGTGCCAGCCCCTGGAATGAATGAGGCAACAGTGAGCACCAAGAGGCATAAACGAAAAGCTCCGCCGGAGCCACTTGACGCCGGCGCGAGGAACACACGAGGTTATGCAGACTCTTCGGAGACATTCAACAAAACGCTCAGAATCATTCGATCAAACGCCCCCTTTTTCAGCCTCCCGTCTAAGCCAAGTCTGGATCAGCAGCATGTCATGAAGCTGGCGGCAGCAATTTTGAGCATCCCTGCCATTGAACAGTTCAAGGGACTTGTCAGTGCATGGAGGAGTCGTAACGAGCACATAGTCGTATCGAAACAGGACGATCGATTGAAACRATGTGCTCTTTATGTGAGAAACGCCAATGCCAAGACTGCGATTGGCACGTTTCTGTTTCGCCACTCTCGGGCGCTCCTGGCGCGTCTAGTGGACGAATGGAAAGATGAGCGCTCGCTAACACGGCTGGGCAAAAAGGACATGGCCGATCTCCTTCAGCAACTGGAGATGGAACACACCGAGTTTACAAATAGCTTGCGTGATGGCAGAATGTGGAATGACGTGTGTGGTCAGTACCCCGGGCTGCTACCATTCATTCCTCTTAGTTCTTGCCCTCCATTTCATATTTCTGTGCAGGACTGGAAGCAGCTTGATAAAGGACAACTCAAAACGCTATATCAACTTATTGAATGTGATGACTCGAAGCGCCTATCCGAGGCCGGGAAGGTTCTAGAAAATATAGTCGCATACGACTCAGCTGTTGTTTTTAAATGGGAGCAGGAAGATCTGGATAGTCAATCGCTCTGGGGCGTGGTGGAGTCTGTTGTAGCTGACTAACCAAGGGGGATGTCCCCCTTGGTTAGTCAGCAATGGTCTGAGCTCATGGCAACCCTATACCAAATCGTATTGTGCATTTATAAACCAACAATAGTTTGCCTTAGACTCCATCTCCTATCATTATCTAGGGTACTAGCGGCCAACGGGCATCCGGAGAGAGAGCTAATTGGTATAATCGGGATGTGTTCTCCTCCTTTACGAGGAGATATGGTTGATAACTACTGGCATCATAGAATCACACAAAATCATACTCACATCCAGAGTTGTGAATATTACGAAAGGTGTTCAAGAGTAAGAAGGGTTCAAGGGGGATGAAGTCGAAGATTTTCGAAGGTCATGAAGAGTTTCAAGAGCGTGAAGGGCAAAGGATGTAATGCAGTACAAAGATGACATATAAGCGCGTGATGTAGGGGGTCAAGGGAGTGAAGAGGGTGAAGCGGATGAACTGAGCGAAGGGAGTAAAGAGGGTGCTAGGGTAACAAGGGGACGAAGGAGATAAGGAGTTTTAAAGCAATAATTTGATTAACTAGCTACTATTGTAATCAGGAACCCGATAATGACAGTTATGATTAAATTCCCAGTAATATTACTCCTCCACTCTATGGCAGACACGATCCCGCTCGTATCAATGCAGGCGTATGCTCACGGACAAACAGTGCCTTTGCATCTTCATGATCTTCAATCGCTTTTGGCAATGCCCAATCTGGTTCCAGCCCTCGTATCTTCTGCTCAAACGCTAGTCGCTGGTTTGTAGCTTGTCCAAATCTCTGCCTCATGCTAGTTATATTGGAGAGCTTTGGAAGTTCCCTGTTGGGATCTTCGTTATCGCGCCAAGTAACGAGGACGCGATAGATTCTCCCCGCCTTTTTCAAGACTGCAATATCCTCAATCACAATCTTCCAGATCTTAAGAGGTTCATCATTCTCGCCTGTGTCGTCATCTGCTATCAGTGTTTTCCCTTGATTATCCGTAAATGCCTTCTTGTAAGTAGCATAGCGCGAGCCTGAGAACATATATGTCCTATGTAGACCAAAACGCCATGGTTCCGATACTAAGAAGTAGCCCTTGTCGGTATTGTACCTGATTCTTCCCATGGCTGCTTTCTTTTCTGGTCTCATGCTGGCCGGAATCATGATTGCAGAGGGGTCGTTCGGCTGCAAGTCAGGTATGTACGTGACGGCGGCTCCAAGGGCTCTGGCATTATCCACCGCTTCAGTTGCATCTCTCTGAGCTCTTTCAAGCTCGACTTGAGCCTCTTGAGCCTTGGCAATAGCATTTTGAGCTTGCTTTTCTGCGTCTTCTGCCTCAGGGCTGAGGCTTCGGGCTGTAGAGGAGGCTGGTGTTGAACGCTCGGACGAATTTGACGATGAATCTGGACCGGGGCTAGGAGACTCTGATGAGCCAGAGCCGCTAGCGGGAACTGAGCTCAAGCTAGTTTCGGCTGACTCCTGTTTTACTTGGCCTTTGTCAGTTTGGTCTTCGTTGGCTTGG